CGTTGTACTGAGTCCTCAGCTTGTCCATCCTCAGAGGTCGGATACCTCTTGACTGGCCAGGACTCCAGAGTGTCATGTGATATGGGTAGCAACGAATAGGGCCCTCTGGTGAGTATGGGCCTGAGCCTCTGAATGGGGCTTTGGCCGCTTGGCCAGTCAGCCCAGCACACCCAGCTGGCAGGCAGGGACTCATGTGGCAGACTGAATGGCAGCAGTCATCTGTAGTTTTGGGCCACCTCAGACCTGCTGCTTTCCTCTGGGAAATTGCAACCTTCCCCTTCTGGAGGCCCTTGGATCATAAATCCCCCGGCTGAGAAGACTTTACCAAAGATACCTGTTCCTGATACTGCTTGGAGCACACCCACAGCAGTGGCAGCAACGCTGTCCTTGAAGTACTCCAGACAGGATCTGAATACATTTCCTTCTATGGCTCTTTTCAGGGACCAAGAACAGTTTAATTAGAAAATTTTCTCTGGACATGGTGTTTAAAACTCTTATATACTGTTAGAGAGGGTGCAAACTCGGGTAACCTTTTTTGGAGGGAGATTTGTCCACTCCAAAATGTACTACTTCTAAGAGCTTACCTTACAGAGCTCCTTGCACAAATGTGTGCAGAGTGAGTATGAGGATGCTTACTGAGATATTGTTTGCAGTAGAGGAAGCCTGAAAACAGGCTGAATGTGAGCTCCCTAGGTGGGGCTGGGAAGGGAAGCCCAGGCAGAGAGGTGCTTGGGGATGGAAGCGGGGGGTGCAGTAACACCTGGTGACTCCCTTGTCCTTGCTCCGTAGGGAGGGTGCCCCTTAGAGGGTTGGGCTCCAATCTGTGGTGGCCAAAGAAGAGGCACTGATCAGGCTCCTCTACAGTCTGGGGCTCTGTAGGAAGGCTCTGTGGGAGTCTCTGGGCCCTGCTTTTGGGGTCTGGAAGCTGAGTCAGAACTTTCCTGAGGGACCTTTGCCTTGAGATGGGGCTGGAAGTGGTCACTGAGCACAAGCCAAGTTCTGTAGGTAGTAAGAGGACAGAGAGGCAACCTTGAGGAATCCACTCAGAAAGCAAAGGCCAGAGGAAATATTTAGGGGGTGGAGTCACCCCCAAAGTTCCCTGGGCTGGCATACTCCACATCTTGAAGCATTCTTGACAATACTCCAAATGGTTTGAGCTTGTTCAAAACTCGAAAGAACCGGATACTCAGATGCAACCAGGGTTTTCAACACACGCTGGAAAGAATTGGCCAAGGCTTTTAAGTGCTTTGAGTGCAGTGTTTTCCAAGATCTTAAAACAAAATGTACCCAAGCATTTAATGAGATTATTTTAATGCAGAACCTACAACCACTGTCTATCGTGGCGCAAACAGCTCTCCATGCTAATCAAACGCCTCTCATCTTTTTACAATGGATTCATGACTAGTTCATATAAAGACAATAAAAATTAAATGAGTCATGAGCTCCTAAATCATTTTCTTTTGGTCTTTTTAACAACTCACTTCCAAAGAAGAGTTAGCTGAGAACATATGCTTCATTAGAATTATTTGTTCCCCGTTTTCCAGCATTTAGGCATGGGGAAAAAAGTAAACCTTTTAACACATCCTTCAAACACTGCCATAGATACTTTCTTCTAATGGGCTTTGTTTTTCTGCTTTTATCACTGTATTCTGCCTGCTGACATTTGAAAGCCCCAAATAGTGATATTCAGAGAAAAAAACCCCCCAAAACAAAGAGTGGCTCTTTCAAGTCATTTGAAGTATACTGAGTTTGTTGTATTTTGTTGTTGTTGTTGTTAAAAGAAGACTACAATAGAAAAATGTTTCCTCTCCCTGAGAATATCTTGACCAAATAGTTCCATGTGCTCTCAGAGTGTGCTGTTTCCCTTGCTTACTGGGGCCAGAGGTCAGAGGCCAGCGGCTGTGAGCTCCAGAGCCTGGGAACTGCAGGGTTAATGCAGGAGGCAGTGGCCTCAGGGCCAAGTCTTGGCCTTGTGAGGTGATACCGTGTTTCCCTGAAAATAAGACACTGTCTTATGTTTATTTTTTCTCTAGAAGACACACTAGGGCTTATTTTCTGGGGATGTCTTATTTTTATTAAGTATAATACAACAATCTACATTTATTCAAATACAGCTAAGTCATCTTCTTCTGGAACCTGACAGGAGGAGCCAACCTTGTTGGTGGGGCTGGCGCTGGTGGTGTGAACTCCTTTCCCCTAGCCGTTAGCATGTGTGCAATAGGATGCCCATGACCGCGGTTACTACATGTGCAAGTGGGAACGGCTCGGAGAAAGGAGCTGTGGCAGATAAAAGGTATTCCAGTCTTCTTTATCGCTCTGTGCCAAAATGCATGGCGTGGTTGTGTAGATACCCTGCATAGCCATGCCCATCACTAGGTCTAATTAATGGGGTAGGGCTTATATTTAAAAAATGCATAGAAATCCTGCTAGGGCTTATTTTTGGGGTAGGTCTTATTTTGGGGGAAACACAGTAGGTACTGTGTCCCAAGAGCATAGAACCCAGGAAGCTCTGGCTGGGGTGTGTAGCTGGCTGCTGGCTTGTGGCACATTCTTCGAGTCCTCTGAATCACTTAACCCCACTGGCCTCATGAAGCTGGGGTAAGAGATGAGGTGATACTTAAGAACCAGCCCAGCACAGAATTTGGCACCGTGCACGGGACTGCTTAGTTGCAATGATGCAGTCAGTGATTGCCTGTGACCTATGGATGTCCTATTCTAGCTTCTTTCCCCTCCTGGATGGGCCCCTGGTCTTTAGGTTCATAAGGGGCAGTGAGAAAGACATGAGAGGGACAGCAGGAGATGTTTTGAGGCAGGGCATGTACACTGGTTTGGGGACAGTGCCCTCACCATTCCCGGAGCAGTTGCTGTGTGGCCTAGGTGATTAGAGAGTGCTGAGGTCCATGATTAGTTTGGATGTTCCATTTCTGGGTGTCCTCTCTGACACCCAGTGTGGGGGCTAGGGTAGTCTGAGATGGGCCCCACTCCACCCCTAAAACCTGAGGTGATGGCTCCTCTCCTGCAGACACAGCCCAGCACACTCCTGCAGGGCAGCCTGCCACAAGCCCGGGTCACACAGTGCACAGGGTACTGCTGGTGCCCACCCCCTTCTGGGCTGGGGGCAGTGGGCTGCAGTTCCCTGAGGGTGAGGTGGGAGGGGGCATTGGGCCAAGTCAGAACCAGATCCAGACCCACAGCTGTTGTAGTAGAGAAACCGACAGCCAGCCAGGAAGCAAACAAATTATAGGCTGTACTTTGTTAGCTCTGGGGAACATGAGCGTGAGCAGAAATTATTGATTTCTCATCAAATGAACAGAAGGAGGCATCATAATCCAGAGACTGGCTGCCAGGAGGCACCGCAGCTAGTTCCCTGGGCTGCTGACTCTGCTGGGGAGCGCCTGTCTTTTGGGGTTTTGCACTGTTAGGCCATAATTCTAATCTCTGCCCAGTGGTTGTGTTTTCCTTCCTGCAAGGTGGGCTGGGTGAGGCTGAAGCCTCCTGCGATGTGGTGGCCCAGGTATCCTTGGGAGGCATGGGCTGAATGTCCTGACAACCTGAAGAAGGCAAAAGGGCCTTGAACTGAGCCATGACCAGTGCAGGGAAGCTTGCTGGGAGCCATGGCTGGCCTGGGGCACTGTTCCACTCCAGATATGCCACTGGGGAAGTCAGTGAGGAGGAGGACACCAGCACCACCAGTGAGGCTCCCCTCATTTCTGGGCCCCACATTACTTGGGATCCTCCTGGGATGCATGTTACTCTTAGGCTGGAAGGGGCTCAGCACTTCTGCAGCACCCACATCTCACCATATCACTCTCTAATAAAAAAATCTATGGTTTCTCACCACGCACAGGGGAACGGCGGAGACTCTTTATATTAACCCTTTATGTTCTGTTTGCTCTGGCCCCAGATTGCCCCAGCACACTCCTCTCTTACACACTTATCCCTGCCCATGGAAGCCCCAGCCAGAATGCCTCCTTACAGCTATTTGTGGATACCTCCCCCCCTTGGAGGCTGAGGACAGTGTTTTTGCTCCCTGCTGTGTCACAGGACTTGTGGCTCCCTCACTTAATAAGTGAATCAATCCGAAGGAGGGTTCCCCAGGTTCACCATCTGTCTGGGCACGTGACGGTCACTCCTAAGTGCTTCTGACAGCAATCTTGCTTGCTGCAGAATCTGAGTGGCTCCTTCTCACTTGGCTCTGGGCTAGAGGGGTACATTTACTTTCTGATCAAATATTATTCTGATGCTCAAGGCATCCTTGATGTTCGCAAGTCAGAAAAGTTTAATTACATGTGTCATTAGAATGGCATTCTGTAATAGCTCTGTGACTGAATTCATTAACAGAATTCTTAACAGATAAGACAAGACAAATTAATATTTTGTTGCCCATGAAAGCTTCTCATTAAGAGAGTAGTGAAAAAGTGATTAATATTTTGTTGCCAATCAAGATGTCTCATACAAATGACAAAACAAGCAGGCCCACACCTCTTTGTGCTCTGTAATCTCCCCGCCTTGGGTTTTGAAAGCTGATCAGCTGCCTGTGCCTGCGGTGTTGGGTGCCCGTCACTGATTCCAATGCCAGGGCTCGTATTTCATCTCTCACTGTGGCGGGGTGAGGGGCACTGAGATACCTGAGGCTAAGGGGTGCTGGGAGCATCCAACCCTGGAATCTTTGCTCAATCAGTGCTGCCCTCTTGGGCTATTCTCTCCTGACCAATTCTTGCCTTAGAAATGCCCTGATGGGCCAGGCGCAGTGGCTCACGCTTGTAATCCCAGCACTCGGGGCGGGGGGGGGCAAGGTCGGTGGATTGCTTGAGCTCACGAGTGAGACCCCCCATCTCTAAAGATAGCTGGGCATGTGGTAGATGCCTGTAGTCCCAGCTACTTGGGAGGCTAAGCAAGAGGATCACTTGTGTCTAAGAGTTTGAGGTTGCTGTGAGCTATGGCGCCATGGCACTCTACCAAGGGTGACAAAATGAGACTGTCTCAAAAACAAAAAAAAGTGCAGATGATGTGAGAGAATATTTGCTATCTGCGCAATGGTGATGACAAAAAAAAAAAGAAGGAAATGCCTTGTGCATCCTGATGACCTTGCTCTAGGCCAGTAGTTCTCAACCTTCCTAATGCTGTGGCCCTTTAATATAGTTCCTGTGGGTCACAACCCACAGGTTAAGAACTGCTGCTCTAGGCCTCTTCCTAGGGATGCTTTCCTCATGGTCCCCTGAGTGGGGCCGCCACTTATGAACACCTGCTGTGTGCCACACACTGAGCTGGGTACTCAACATACACGTACCTGAAAGCCTCTGTGCAAGAAGGACACTGTGATCTCCACTTCTCCATAGGCTCAGAGACATTCAATGGCTTGCCTAGGGATGCTGTGGGTTTGTTGGAGGTGGCTGGTCAGTGTCTCTGTCCCTGGGTGAGTGGAGGCTGACTTGGATGCTGTTTCCCTGCCCCTGATTACAAATAGCAGGAGTACACCAGGGTCACATCTGTTTGGCTGGGGAGCCTCACTGGGCTGCTACTGGCTGCTTGCTGGGGACTCAGGCTACAAGACACTGAGAATGTTGTTTAGCAGCAGCAGCAGCAGTGATGGTATTAATGATAGTAATCATAGCAATTGTGATAACGAGAGTGATAATTGTTAGCATTTATGAAATACTGAATGCTAAGAACTTTACAAGTATCTTCTCATTTCCTCGTTGTTATAACACTGTGAAGTAGATACTTTTATTTATTCCTATTTCACAGAAGAGGAAACTGAGGCTTAGAGAGGTCAAGGTTACTTAGCTAGCAACTTTGTAAGATTACTTGGCTGGTAACTGGCAGGCTGTGCTGCCTCATCCCTGAGTGGGGGGGAGCTGGGCTTTCTGTGAATTTACACGCATTAGGTGGGCACCCCTGTGCGCTGGCTCTGGTCTGCACCCTCACGTGGGGGGGTCTGCGAAGCACACAACCCTGCCCATTTGCAGTCTACTGACTCAACCACCAGCAGCCAGTGTTTCCTGGCAGGTAATGAGGGGCCATTAATCTCTGGTTGTACATGCAATTACCAGAATTGCTAACCTTATTGTGAAAAGTAGAAATGCAATTGAGTTGGTGCTGGAGGCATATTTGAGGAAGGAGAGAAATACTCAAAGTAATTTAATTAACTGATGGCAAGTACATTAAGAGGAGTTTTGCCTCTGCTTTTATTTCTGATGTCTTTAAGTAGAGCACCAAGTACAGCTTGTGAATGCTCCAATAGACATAGGCCGACCCGTTCTAGCACCGAATCAATCACTACTGGCCAAGCATTTTAAAAAGCTGACACCCCACCTCAACAGCCTTTGCACACACAGACTTGTGCACCCCCCCACATCCACACATCCACATAAACACTCCCCCTAGTTTTTGCAAACATGGCACTGCCTTTTCTTGCTAAGTTCTCAGCTAGGTCCTGGCAATCTCAGGCGCAGATGGACTCTGCCTATCTAGCATCTGTCCAGCTAGCACCCACCAGGGTGGTGCTGCACTAACATTCAAGGACATATGAGATACTGCCTACGCACACCACAGTGGGGAAATCAAAGACGGGATACTGCCCAGTGGGATGAGGATGGGATATCTCTGCCCAGCTAGAGGCTCCAGACTGGCCCCCTCTTCCCATCTGCTTCCCCATGGTCTCTGGAGTGCAGCTAAAGGCCCTAGAGAGTATCACAGTCCCAACTGTGGTGGCTCTTGCCCCATTTCATGCCGGGCCTTTCTCCTCAGAGTTGGAGGGACCTTCAAGGTCATGGGGTTTAGCTGCCTTCTTGTGGCTAGCAGCACTGCTGACCATAGTCCCTGCTTGAGCTTTCATGTCCCTAGGGACAAGGAGTCTCCTGCCTCCTGTAATGGTTCACTCCACTGTGGGGCAGGTTTGAGGGCTGGAATGCTGTTCCATCTGAGAAGCTGTAATTGCTATCCTTTGTGGTGCACCTCGGACCTTTGTATTAGTGCAACATACGGGGTCATTCAGTCCAGCTTACCTCCCTGTGCCCCAGCCCCTAATTCACTACCCTTGAGATGTTTGCAGGAAATGACTACTCATCCCACAGGGCTTTCTTTTCTGGGGCAAGCATCCCACTGTGGACCAGCTGAACTGCCTTAAGCCTGAAAATCCTATTCCTGTTACTGTAGCCCAAGACCAGTCAGCTGTCCTGGCAGCTCACTACATGGGTGACATCACTCTGTCTTCTCACATGAACTTCTGGGAAGCTACATCACATCTTATGCCAAACCCAGACCAATAAATACACTTGAATTATTCAATTTCTTCAAGTTTGAAAGAAGATAAGGACTACTAATGTTGCTTTTCTTACGGATTAATTCATTAAGGATCAGCAGGTTAAGAAATTACTCAAAGTCACAAAGCCGACACAGGTGAGGCTGGGACTCCAGCCCCAGCTGCCTGGTTCCTCAGAGAACAGAAGTACCCCCTGGTGGCCATGTTTGGCCACCCGAGCTCCGCTGCTCTTTTCTTCCATGCAGTGTCACTTAACTCATCCAACCCTCACCCCCTCACCCAGCAAAGAAGCCCCCCAGGACAGGTTCCCTGTTGCCTGCCTTGGTTTCCCTCCACCTTCTCATCTTTCACCTGCCCTCCAGCTGACCCCATCCAGCAGCTCACCTCTGCCCTCTGTGGGACCATCCTTACCTCTGTGTCCAGCCTCAGGGCCTGAAGCCTTCTCCCCAGGGGCCCCAACCAACTTTCTTCCCTGTTTTGGAGGTTCCTGCCTGTCTATGCTCTCTGCTGGCCTGTAGTGCACCTCCCTGAGCTGTGGGGAAGCCCACAAGGCCCACTCCTTCCCACAGCCCATTCCAGAGCCACCTCTGGGCCTTTGTGACTGCAGACTCCGGTCAGAGACCTCCTGCCCTGCCTGCCCCACCTGTACCACACACCTTTACTTAGCCTGGCCATGGCTGTCAGGCTGAACGCCACCATTCATCCTATTCTCTGCCATGGTGGAACTTAGAGTTCCAGGCTGACAATAGGCTGAGGATGCACTAAACTTGGGATGTTAGAACAAAGTCCTCGGGCCCTGCCCCTGCCATGCTGTGACTTGTGCAGTGTACCCAGGAGGTGTACTTAAGTCAGGATAAGTTCCAGGTGACTTACATTGATGTCTTCCAAGTCCAAGAAGTTCAAGGTGAGTCCATTGCGTTTCCAGACGATTGGTGGCCTCAGATCTCCATGGACAGCACAGGTCAGCACTGTGCTCAGCCCCACGGTCACAGTGGTCATGCTGACCCTGTCCTCAGGGGCGAGGCTGAGCTGAACCACCTCTGAAAAGGGAAAGAAGGAGGTGGTCAGGTTTGGGCCAGGGAGTGGCCCAAGGCAATTCAAGGCAAATAGCCACAGGCTTACCAAGTTTGGGGCCTAGGAGGGCTTCACAGCTCCCTGACTAAATGTAGAGATAGATACTTGAATGAGAGGGGATGCAACTTATGTCAAATGCTTGAAAGGCTCTGTGAGCCAAAACAGATTAGGAACCAAAACTAATGTGCAGCGGACCATCTGGGCCATAGATCTGACTTGAGCCAAGAATATGGGCTTCCAGTGGCACAGGACCATTACACAGAGACCAGGCAGCCCAGAGCCCTGCTCGGCTCTCCCCGCAACCTGCTGAAGTCGGGGCCTCACTAACTTCAGTCAAGGTCTGCTGAGGGAGCTGACAGGCTTCTCATAAATATAGGGGCAATTTAAAGGTTGTACTGTCTGAAGTCTGGGCAATGCACTGGCTGACCTTTGAAGGTTTGTTTCTGTCTGAGGATTCTCTGAACTTGGAGGATTTGGGTTTCTGGTCTGCGACCATGCACTGTAGCCTTTAATTTTTTTCAAGTATACTTCAGGCTGCAGAAATTATTAGTCTTTGCCATTTTGCTCTTGAAAACTGGCATTATGACTGATCATTTTTCAAGCAAATGGGAAGGGTCAAAAATATTTCCTTGCAATCACAAGCTTTTTGAAATTCTCCAGATTTATGAAAAGAATTAAACTCAGGCTGCTCAAATGCCTAAATGAGATCAGGCTGGAGGAGAGTCACCAGCCTGCTGAGGGAACTGGCTCCCCCTTGCTCTTCTTCCAAACCTGCCACTCAGGGGGCTTGGGCAGCAGCCAGCGGCAGCATGAGCTGTCAGGCTGGCTCTGGGGGGTCTGTGTCTATTTTGGGATGCCAGCAGCAATGCTGAGAACCCTATTCACTCCTCCTGCTCTTCTGTTGGGACCTGGGGAGCCTTACATGTGTGCTCCCCCAAACTCTAGACCAAAGCACAGAGGTGGAAGCTGAGTTATCCAGCTCAGCTGGCACTTGTGAGCTGTGACCAGGCTGCAGCACTACTGCGGCCTATGCCCTCCTGCAGGCTCCTGGGAGGGGGAGGAGGGGAGAAAATAGCTGCAGGTGCAGCGTACTGCAGAGGCACTGAATCAAAAGCAGGGGCCTAAGGTCAGATCCTGAGCAGCAGACCCCCCTCTTCCCCACCAAACACTTAACAGCCTGGCCCTGGGCTCACAGAGATGAACAATATCTACACTAGGTGCTTCATCAGGGCTGTAGGATGGATAGATGAAAAGTGGAAAAAATGAAAGAAAGAAGTAAGAGAGCCAACAGGCCAGTGGGGAGGGGGCAGTCACATACAGGAAAAATGTGACTCGTGGTGAAGTAGCCCTCAAGAGGAAAGATAAGCACCAAGTGATTGATGTAGACGCAACTGGCATAATATTTTACAAACATTAAAGTGATGCATTTCAAGTTCTCTCTTAAATCACGTTCTGCTCACTGCCCTCCCACCTCTGAGTCATGAGGCTTATTGCTCAGGGCAGGAGAGAGAAGGCATTAACTCTCTGTTGCAAGACCTAGGCTTTAGAGAGGGGAGAGAGAGAAAGAATAAGAACTTGCTAAAATTGTTTAGCTCTCGCTGTACCCTATGGGCCCTAGGGCCCAGGCCCCTGAGTACTCCCTGAGTATACAGGGAACTCTCGTTGGCCACAAGGCTCCATGCTGTGGAAGCTCTGGGAGACCGCTGGTGTATAGATGAGAAGAAGTGAGATGGGGGCTCTAGAAGGATACTACTCCCCCAAACTGGGGAAACTAAATGAGTCTGGGCAGAAAGCTGGACCCCCTTTAGTCCCTGACACCTTATTGCCTTTGACTGCTGGACGAGGGCCAGAGGGAAGTGCCTAAGACCTCGAGGGGGGCTACAGGAGGCTCTGCTTGAGGGAGCGTCCTGACTCCACACCCTACCAGGCTGTGAGCCCCAGACCAAGAGCACCCTGAGGGCTGAGCTCAGCCAACAGGGCACCAGAAGGAGCAGGAACACCATGTGGCTTCTTGCACACTCAGGAGCCAGCTGGGAGGCGTGGGGAGGAAGCTGCAGACAAGAGGCACTTTGTTGATAGAGTGTCACTTACTGGGACTGTTAAATTGTCCACTGGGATTGAGCTTTACAATGGATTGAGCATTTAGTTGAATTTTCCTCCCAGTTTAGGGGGTGGGCTCTGAAGAAGTCAGGTTACTTATAAAAAGAACCTACATTTTTGCTGCATGTCTGAGCTCTGGTCAGACTAGAAGGAGAAGACCAAGTGCGCAGCCAGGGAGGGCTTCTGGGAGGAGGCAGGCCTTCCCCAGGCTCGAGCTCTGATTTCGGGTTTGCATCCCCAGCTACCTGCATCATATATCCCAGGGTGGGTGATCAAAACTCAGGTTCCTGCCCCTCTGCCCCAGGCTGAGATAGACTCTCTGGTGGGCCAGGTGGGCATCCAGATTTTAGCAAGCATCCCAGAAGGTTCTGTGGTACCCTGAGAACTCTGCCTTACAAGATGGGAGGGGTCTGGGTAGACAGAAGGGGGAGTGCAGATGGTGGGGTGGTGAGGCAGTCCGGGAGGCTGGGATCTCCAGGGCCCCTAAATACCAGGCTAGGAGCACGGCCCCTCATTGGAATATAGGACCTATGTGAAATGTAGGATCCCCCTCCTCCATGTGACCCCCAAGGTTTTATTCTCCAAGTAGTTTTAGAAAAAGCCTATAACCCGGGGCTAAAAGCCCAAGTGAGAGATGGAAGCCCTTGGTGTCCCAGCAGTCCCCCGCTGGCTAGAACACCTGCTTGCTGCCTCCTCCCTGAGCACATTCCTGATTATTTGTATGTATGAGGAGGTGCACTTAGCGCAGGAGAAACTCACGCGAAATTAGGATGCCTGAATCCTGACGGAACCATCGCAATTCTGCTCCTGTCAGCTACACAAATATTAACCAAACAGCAAATATTTGGATCACTTAAAGTTTAATTAAATGAATGTTTTATTGGATTTAATTCATGTCAATATTCCCCAGCTCCTTTTAAAATTCTGAAGAGGTTTATGGCTCCTGAGCGCTCTCCTTCTGCCCTCGCTCCCAGTTGTTTCTGGGTGACAAGCCCTCCCTAGGCAGGCCTTGCTCCTTGCTAAGTGGCAAGACTAGGACTGAGTGACTACCCAGGGTTCATGCAAATGGGGGTGGGGAGAGGACACCTGGCCTTCAGGCCTGGCTCTGTTGCTGATGAGTGGGGTGGTCTCGGGCAGCTCCCCGCCTGGGCCTCAGCTTGAACATGATACAATGAGGGACGGGGTGGGCCATCTCACTTTTAGGTTCTGAAAGTCTTGAGTGGATTATTCCAGGTGGATATCCCCAGAGACCCCCTCAGCCCTGCAGTGCTGCCTGTTGTGCCTTCCCTTGTCCCCAAGTGCTGTCTGCCTCTGTTCTTGGCCGATTTACCTGTGATGGTAAAAGTGACACCTCAAAAGGTGGCACCAAGAGTTTCAAGTCCCACAGAGACTTCCCTCCTGATGCCTCTGAGCCCTCCCCTCTTCTCTATCCCAGGCTCTCCACTGCCTCCTGGGTAGTCACTCCTCCAGTTCGCCCTGCTGCCTTATTGCTACTTGCAGAAGAAGGTATGTCCCAGCCCTGCTCAAAAACCATCAATGGCTCTCCATTACCCAAAGATTCACATGTAGAATTCAGAGCAGTCCCTGATCTTGCCCCTGCTTTGCCTCCAACATTATCGCAGTGCTAGCAGGTCCATCCCATTTGCATTTTCTGGTCTCAGTGTGTGCCTGCTTGGCACCTCCCACTTGTCTGTTCTGACCTCCTTGTACTTCTGGCCCCCACTTCTAATGGGACCTCATGGGATATTCTGGGACCCTGAAGTTTTAACATCAGGATCCACTTAGATATTAGGTAAAGAAGATTGATAGACTTCCCTGGTGAATTTGTTAGAAATTTTTTAGGCTTGAGTTACAGAAACTCTCAGAAATGCTCAACTAGCTTAGGAAAAAGAAAAGGAAGATGATTCAGTTCCCATAATGAGAAACCCAGGGTGAGGTGGGGGTGGGGGAGCAGAAAAGGCTACAGGCATCGAGGACCCTAAACGGTGGAATGCTCTACCAGGTTGCAAGATGTCCAGTGTTGGCCCCATATGTGGATTGTCCCCATATGTGGGATTTCAGAGAAAGAGACCAAATGTCTCCTGAGAGACCTGGAAAAATTGTGGGGTTGGGGACTCTGGCTAGCATGGCTCCTGTGTTCTTTCTGGAAGTGATCACTGTAGCCAAGTGCTTCAAATATTGTGCACTCATAGTAGTGACTGACCCATTAGGCCTGCACCATGTGGCCACCTCTATGGCCACGTACAAGGTAGTTGGGGTGGGGTCAAACATCCACCAGAATGGGTGTGTTGGGTAGATCAACAGCCTATAACAACCATAGGAATGAGAGACGACCCCTTCTCTTCCCTCCATCCTCACCATGACCCTATCTGGAAGCCAGAACATCGGGCACAAGCAGGGCAGACAGCTGGAATCCCACTGTGAAAACAGTAAGAACCCTCAGAACTGAAGCCAGATTTGGTTACTGCAGTCTTGCCTCTACCGCTGTCCTTTCTCTGGAGAGTGATGGGGGTAGCTTTCACAGGAAGAAGTTATCGGTGGTGGTGTGGCCCAGCTGAGGGGCCCCACAGTCCCATTAAGCCCCCACATCATGATGGGGAGGGCCCCCGCCTGGTGTTTGGTGGTCATACATCTACCCAACCTCATCTCTGCCACAGGCACATCTGTATGGCAAGGGGCCAGGTAAGTCCCAGGTGCTAATGGCCAGAGGCTAATGTCTGGGCTGAGAACAAATTTGCATAAAGAGGCTGGTGTCTCTGGAAATAGGGGTGGGGTTTGGTATTACTGGGCAGAGGTTGGTGCCCAGAGAGTGACAGATGCCCTGCTAGGAGAACTGGCACCAGAAAGATGCTTTGCAAGTTGGGGA